AATAGTTGGCCTCTGAAGGCACGAACTGTAAATTAAAATTGTTTTTAGATTTCAAACTCTGCTTCATGTGGTGTAAATCTGTGCTCTCCATTATTTCCCTCTCAGACTCTCTTTCTTGCACCCCGCCTCCTCCCATCTCCACCTCACACAGGGAGGTCCTTTCCTAAATCCTCCCACCGCTGAGAAGCTTCTGCCATGACGAGGTCATCGTAGTCTGATCTCCATCCTATAAATCATGTTCAAGTCTTCTAAGTCAGCGGTCCTGGTTTATGTCTGACAATATTTTCAGGGACCGGACTATAAGGTGTCACAGATAAATACAACAAAATAAAACCAGTACTGGTGCCAAGAAAATAAGATTTAATCATAACACACAGGAAAAGACCCAGGGAAACAGAGTTAACGATAAAAATGATTTAAAATAAAAAGCTAACCCCTGAAAACCCTCATCACAGCCCAGTACCACACGACTCACGGACTGGTACCAGTCTGTGGCCCGGGGGTTGGGGACGGCTGAGCAGGCAACATCATGTAGCAGTTGATCAGTGAAGCAGTGTCCACTCACTCTGACTTCAGAGAGTGGAATAAACACAGTGGAGAGGTGTGGGGAGCTGCTTTCCACATCTGTGGACTACAGTGGGTTAGAAAGATCACAAACATCAACAGATGATGTAATCTGCTGACTACAGCTGTTACGGGGTGAGGCAGGGTGCCCCCCCCACAGGCTCAGGACCAACACAGCTCGGTGAGTGTGTGTTTGGCCTGTGGAACGACAAACTACACAGAAAGGCCTCAGACAGGAAGCCTGAACACAAACCCGTCAGCACTAACCACCACACTCACAGGGCAGACGTTTCTCACTGCTGGCACAACGACACTGATATCTTCTGATAACACTGCCACCTAGTGTCGGAGCCTTTAGTTACATTGTGCAATTACAGCTCCTTTAAGGAAGCCCAGACTCCTGTTCCTGTTTACTGCTTTATATTACAGACTAACACCAACACTTAGCAAACACAAAATCTCCTGCTCTACCAATTTCCATACAGTACAAAAGTTAGACTAAAAAACTCAAGACAGAGAGGAAACAATCAGATCGGATCTTTTAAAGAGAGGATCTATACGGTTGGAGGAGCACGTGTCCTGCTCCGTGGGGGGTTTTCTGATACTCGGAAGCCTCGAGACCAGGAGCTACTACTTTTATCCACGTGATTCAGAATCTCTCTAAACTATTAGAAACAGCAAGATGGAGACTGATAAGTTTCTTAGCAGCATCTTTACTCTCTGCACAGCTCAACATAAAAAAGAGCACTTCCTGTGTGCAGCCATCGAGATACTTCACTGGCAACTCAGAAGCCAGGAAATCTTGTACTCGGATAAATGCAGGAAAACCAACCAGGTGGAATCAACACATACTTATAACTGTTTGAATGTAAATGTGTAAACATTCAGATATGTAAACATGTAAATATCAAAACATGTAACCACCAAATAACTTAACTCCTTAACCCTCATAAACACCTCTTTGTGCACCAAATGACATAAATTTACTTAAAGAGACAGAGAGATAAAGAGAGTTAAAGAGAGTGCTCTCTCTTATCTGGAGGGAGCGAGCTAAGAGAAACAATGTTTCAATATTATTGAAACATTGTTTCAAAAATATTGAAACATTGTTTCAATATTTTTGAAACAATGTTTCAATATTTTTGAAACATTGTTTCATTTATGAAAAAACAATATTTTCCATAAATGTAACAATATTTTATAACTTCTCTCTCCTGAAAGATGTTTTGCATGAGTGAAAAGCTGCTCGCACAGAATTTTCATAACAAAAGATTTTTACATACGACCGAAATGCAAGCGCGGTGTGGTGCTCAGTGTTTTCACCGTGAGCGGGAAAAATCTGGATCTTTATCTGAGAGACGTTCAACAGAGATGTGCTTCAAGACTCTGGTGAACTCTGGTGAACAGACCTTTTCATTTTTATTCACCAAAATACCAAAAGTAACCATTTTAACAAAGTCAAAAAGAGTTTCATGACTCACAGCTGCATGTTTCTGTGACAAACACAACCTCTCTGTCATCAGTGTCTGAGTGGACACCTGCCTGAGGTCAGAGGATCGTAAGTGATACGTCAATGATTTCTTAAATCCTACACTTTAACTCACAGAGAGAGAGAGAGAGGCTGTAACAGCATTCATTAGAGTTGTGTTTGTGTGTGCGGTTGTGTTTGTGGGTAGCTGTTACTTCCTTCATGCTCGTCTCTAAAAACAGCTGCGTGACAAAGACAGAAGCAGACGGACGAGACTTTTACTTCGCCCAAGATGTCCACAGGAAACCGACATGTGAGATACAGCAGAGGAGGCCGAGCGGACGGTGGAGAGAAAAACAAAGCGGAGATCCGAGAGCTTGAAGCCCACGCCACCAGGACCAGGTCACAGAAAACCAGTAAGCATGAATAAGTAGACTTATGGGCTGGCAGTAAACGTAAATAAAACATGGATGTCGTCTTATTTTAAACAGGAAATAAATAAATGTGTCATACAGCAAACATCTGTCCTCGAGCAGCTCATTTAAAAGTATAGTTACTGCGCTTTTCATCTCTACAGGTCGACGTGCTCGAAAGAAACATTCAGCGAAGAGAAGAGACGCTCGAGTCATCGCTGCAGTTCTGGGAACGTTTCTTCTGCTCATGCTGACTTCGACAGGACTACGCTGTGAGGGCCGACACGTGCTGCTTACGATCAGTGTTCAGATCCAACAGACTGTTCTGGAAACGATGAGAACATTACAACAAGTTTCTCATCATTCCCAGAGAAGTGCTGAACTAATGATTTTAAACTGTTAATTTAAAAAACAAACACACAAACGTTTGTTAAAGTTTCACATGATCACTTTACGTTCCTCTGCAGATATCTCAGTGACCGTGCAGAGAGACGAGCTCAAAATAAAGTTGGATAAACTAAATGAGGAAATGACCAGGATGAAGAGCCAGTGCTCAGGTAAGAGAGGAAAATCAAACTCACAATCAGAGTCACTTCTAAATGTTGACAAGCTGAAGAACAATTATTTCAGAACAAGCTGTGTTTTCTTCGGTTCTCCGTGTCCAGACTTCTTAGACTTCGAGAATCCAAACACAACTGGTGGTTGGCCTGATTTTGGATTTCCAGATGATCGACCCGAGCGAAACGCAACCGAGAGAGGTTACAAAGCTTCTTTTCCCCTCAGTAACTGAAACAACCGTGTTTATCTGCAGCTTGAAGCAGTTCCTGTGTTTCACATTTTATTTCCTTTTTTAAGGCTCTTTAACGAACATCACTGAAGTGAACAACACCTCAAACGCGACTGAGAAAGGTTTTAGTTTCCCTAAAATAACATACAGAACTCATTTAAAGCCATTTTAACTGAGCAAAGACACAAAGTTACAGGAGATCGGAGTAAGAGGGTGTCGTATGTTTTCAGGGAACGGCTGTCCTCTAGGATGGGTGAAGGTCGGCTGCAGCTGTTATTATGAATACACCATAGTGTCCGCTTTGCAGAAGAGCAAAGACGACTGTGAGAAGAAGGGAGGGAAGCTGATCGTTGTGAACAGCATCGAAAAACAGGTGAGTGTGTTTGTCTCAAGCAGCGTGACTTTAAAACTAATCAAGAAGTTTAAACCTGCAATATGAAAAAAAGTGCAGAAAACTGTCCTCTGACGTCTCTGAGTCATCCTGATAAAATCATGTTCAGCCAGTAAGGAAGTGAGCTTAGTACAAGCAGCAACTGGTTCTTAACCAACGGAAGAAAACTCAGATATGTAGGTCTCTATAAATACCAACGATGATGCCTCTGACTTTGTAACAGAAAACTGAACACCTTTGCTTTTGAAAGAAAAGCTAAAAGTCTGCAAGAGATGAATCTACCAAAGCATCAAATTAGAGCACGTCACTGTGACGAAGCAGCGCTGAGATGGTGGAACACATGGCATGAAACATTGAACTAACTGTGCAGAGGTGGGCGTGCCCGGAGCTCTGAGACTGTTCAGGAAACTGAATCGTCGTATCTAAACCACAATCAGGCGCAGCAACAGTGAGCACGCCATCAAGCGTGGCTCAAAACAGCAAGAGACCAACCAGGAAATGACCTTTAACATGTAGGCTGTGCAGCGGAGTGCAGAGGGAGGAGTCACATGAATATATTAATTATGCTCTGAAACTAACTCACTAATACATTTGTTGTCTTAACTGCATAAAACCTGAGTCGACACTTAGAAGCTTTCATATTTTCCACATATAGAGAATACTGAAGGGCCAAACGCCTAAAGATGTCCTGAAGTGTGGCTCAGCGAGGCCTCCGCCGTGACGGGAGGAGGTCATGAGCGCGTCACATCAAGAACTCGTGTGTGTGTAAACCCCACAATTACTGCAAATATGGAAAGAAGCTATTTTTATTTTCAATTTAATTGACTGATTGATCTCCCTGATGTTTATTTATCTGTGCGTTTGTTTTGTTTCATATTATCATCATTATTATTATTATTATTATCATTACTACTGTATTTATTGTATTAACCCTTCTTTCTGGAAAAAATGATTTGATTGAACTCTGTTTAAATTAGGGATTTAATAATAATAATAATAATAATAATAATAATACCTTTTGAAAAAATATCTATAAAAGTGTTTTTGTAAATTTATGTATACAGCTTTCTGCATCCTAATTCTTTTCAATCTATAAACTATTGCTGAAGTTATTAAACTGATCAGAAATGATTCTGCGTGTGTCTGAGTGTAAACAGTTGGGATGTGGCTGCTCACAGCTGCAGACAGGCAGAGTTATATCAGCTCTGTCTCTTTAAGACGAGGATGAACACGAGCATGATGGATGTTTCTACTCTGAGAAACTGAATAAAAACAAATGCGATTTCTTGATAACCTGTTGATATTATTCAGCGACGTGCTGAAGGCGGGCCCATCGGACACAGCCGTGGTTTCTGATAGGCTAAACCAACAACTCACCACAGGGCCTGGCTCTCCACGTTCTCCTCTGGCTCCTCTGATTCCTGGGCCTCCCTGTTAGATACACAAACAGCAGGAGGTGCTTAGAAACACACGATTACCAGGTTTGCTGCTGGGGTTTGAAGGTGATGACAGATGACTTTATAACCCACAAAGCTGACAGATGAGTCATGGTGCAGGAAAAAAAAAAGTTTAATCTGCCAGGAAGTGAAAGTAAAAAAAAAGGAATTCCACTAAAACAGGATGTTGGTGTTTTGTCCTGTTATTGGACTTTTGTGACTGCATGAACGAATGTGCAGCACAGGCTTTTATGGAGGGCCAGGAGTGACGAACTAAATGAATTAAATGTTTCATTAAATAATTAAATTTGGAATTCATTTATTAAATAAATATTTCAATAATTAATTAAATGTCCAGTCATTTAATTTAAAACATGTAATACATTATTTATTTATTTAAATTTTTATTTAATATTGACATATGTATTTCATTGTTTAATGGCATACTTAATTAATTAATTTTGTCACCCCTGGCCCTCCACATTTTGTGTGTGTTTAGTATATGGATAATGACAGGTCAGCAAAAAAAGTCTCACTGTCGCTCTCTGCTGGTGAGAAATGAAATTGCATACTCTTTAAATAGCAGGTGGTATATTAGAGTCATGGTGCTTTTGGCAGTGGTACAAAAAGTTACTCGTTTGGTGATTGTTCTTCACTATATCAAAGAAACATGTAAAAAATAATGTGAGTAAAAAGTGAGGTGCAGGAAAAACGATGTTTGTGTCAC